AGTTCAGTGCTGTTCTCACCTTGCGAACATCAAACTAATTCTTATCATTTGTGCATTTTCTATTTGTGTTATTTCACAGTTAGAAAGAAAATCAGATTATTCCTGCTCCTTCTATCACTTCCACGTCTTCCCAGCACCCAACACTTCCACCTCCTGGTTGTGGATGCCTCCAGATGTGTGTCTGTCCACCACTGGTTTCTCCCACTAGAACTGCAAGGCTATTCCAGCAGTTAACTCTACACAGTAGCCAGTAGCCAAACGTGGCTATTTAAAATTCAGTTAATTAAAATAAAATAAATCCAGATCCTCACAGTGTGGGCTGCATTTCAAGCACTCCACAGCCACGTGTGGTCGAGGCTCCCACACAGGGCAGTGCAGAGCCACTGACATTCCCATCAGAGCTGTGAGTGCTGCTGGGCAGCCAGTACCAGGGGCCATGTCTTGTTTACTGCGCTCCAAGGCTTCAGAAGATGGTTAATGTAGAAAAGAATGCATGAATGAAGGGAAGAAGAGAAGGAATGAGCGGGAGTTCCCCTGGCAGAGCAAACGAACGGTCTGTTACTCTCCCCATCTTACCTCCCCTGAGATCCTACCTTGGCCTCTGGGTCGGTGCGGAAGAGCCCCTCCAGCACGTGTAGGGCATCCAGGACGCCATGGTCAGGGCCCTTGCAGTAGGACAGCAGGCGACGCACATCGTCTGGTGCCACAAACTGCTTGGAGATCCGGTTGGTCATGCGCACGGGCAGGCAGGCGTTGGCCAGCAGGTGGCCTGGGTGGAAGTGGTAGGCAAACCCGCGTGGGCAGGCTGGTTGTGAGTGGGTGAGCTGGCACTCCGACACCACGAGGTGGTCCCGCAGCAGGCTCAGCTTGAGGGTGATGAAGGCTGGGCAGCTGGGCTGGCAGGACCTGCGGGAGGAGTCACTGTCACGTCCCTCCACCTCACTCCAACCCCTTTCCTTCCTTCACTGTTCGTTCTCACTCTCATGTCACAAGCATACAGAAAACTAGAAAGCCCAGAGAATACCCTAGCTATGTGACACTGGCTAGGCGACTTCATTCAGGTGCTTTACTTCCACCACATAGTAAGAGGAAAATAATAGACCTTCCTCATAGGATGGTTGTGAGGTTTTAAAAAATGATTCTGAGGCTGGGCGTGGTGGCGTGTGCCTGTAATCCCAGCTCTTTGGAGGCTGTAAACAGGTGGATCACTACAAGTCCAATCTAGTAGTGAGACCCTGAACACCCTGTAGACCCTTCCCTAAAATTAAAAAAAAAAAAATGATTCTGGTAAAGAAATTAAAACAGTATCTGGAACACAGGAAGCATGACATGGGTTTGCAGAAGTCCTGTACTCGGCACTACTAGTCCTGTCAAAAGTGAGTAAGTGCTTTTTTGTATTTCCACTACAACTTTTCTTTCCTTTTTTTTTCTTTTGCAGAACCGGAGATTGAACTCAGGCCCTTATGCTTGCCAGGGAAGCACTTATTCACTGAGCCATCTCCCTGGCCCTCCACTACAACAGTTCTGCAATAAAACCTCTTACAAGTTCTGTATGTACTTCTGGATTAGCCATGATGGTATCACAATAGAAGGACCTCTGTGCCTCCTGCCCTTATGAATTCCTCGCTCCCTGTCCCCAGAGGCAACCACCACCAAAAGTGGTATTTCAGCTCCACAGGCTTCAGGTTTCTGTTTTGAAACTTGCTATGTGTAAAGCAGTTCTCTAACTCAAAGAACTAAGAAGGGAAAAGACCAAAGAACACCCCCCAGCATGGCCATAGTGAAGAGAATGATCAGCGGTGGCACAGCTGTGAAGGCCCAGGAGTTTGCAACTAACCGGCCAGAAGGTGAGATCCATCTTTAAAAATAGGATTAGAGAGAAAAAGAGACCAATAACGTCTAGGGTTGATGGACATGTGCGGCGACTGCAGTTCTCTGGCATCCCTGTCGAATGTCGAAACCACTTTAGATGACCATGCAGCGGCGTCTGCTGAGCAACTTCTACGTCTGTATGACCTGAACATAAATGCTTTCCCATGGTCCCCAAAAGACTTGTAGAGGCCTGTGCAGCACGGCATTACTTGAAGCAGCCAATACGTGTGGCTCAAAGATACGAGAGTAAAATGAAAAACTAAGTGGCTATATTCCCACAAATATGACATCACCAGCAGTAAGAATGAACACACCAGGATGAACCTTGCACATC